TTTTAGATTTTTAAAAGCCTCCATACTGTCCTCCATAGTCGCTTCACCAACTTACATTCCCAGCAGTAGTGTAGGAGGGTTCCTTTTGCTCTACACCCTCTCCAGCATTTATCATTTGTGGACTTTTGAATGATGGCCATTCTGACTGGTGTGAGGTGATACCCCATTATAGTTTTGATTTGCATTTCTCTTAACTATTAGTGATGTTGAGCTTCTTTTCATGTGCTTGTTGGCCATTTGGATGTCTACTTTGGAGAGATGTCTGTTTAGATCCTACGCCCATCTTTTGATTGGGTTGCTTGTTTTGTTTGTTTTGTTTTGTTTTGATATTGAGGTGTAAGAGCTCTTTGTATATTTTGGAAATTAGTCTCTTGTCAGTTGTATTATTTGCAAATATTTTCTCCCATTCTGTGGGTTGTCTTCTTGTTGTTGATTGTATCCTTAGCTGTGCAAAAGCTTTTAAGTTTAATTAGATCCCACTTGTTTATTTTTCCTTTTATTTCCATTACACTAGGAGCTGGTTTCAAAAAAAAATATTGCTGCGATTTATGTCAGAGAGTGTTCTATGTTTTCTTCCAGGAGTTTTATACTATCTGGTCTACATTTAGGTCTTTAATCCATTTTGACTTTAGTTTTGTATATGGTATTAGCAAATGTTCCAAATTCAGACCTTTACAGGTAGCTGTCCAGTTTTCCCAGGACCACTTGTTGAAGAGACTGTCATCTCTATTGTATATTCTTGCCTCCTTTGTGGTAGATTAATTGACCATACGTGCGTGGGTTTATTTCTGCACTTTCTATCACGTTCCATTGATCAATTTGTCTGTTTTGGGGCCAGTACCATACTGTTTTCATTACTGCAGCTTTGTAGTACAGACTGAAGTCAGGGAGTGTGTTTTCCCCAGATCTAGTCTCCTTTTTCAAGACCGTTTCGGCTATTTGGCATCTTTTGTGTTTCTATACAAATTTTAACTTTTTTGTTCCAGCTCTGTGAAAAATATCATTGGCAATTTGATACCGATTGCATTGACTCTATACATTGCCATTATAACAATATTGATCCTTGCAATCCAAGAATATGGTATATCTTTCCATCTGTTTATGTCATCTTCAATTTTTCTCATCAGTTTACAGGTCCTTTGCCTCCTTGGGTAGGTTTATTCCCAGGTATTTTGTTTTTTCTGGTGAGATCATAAATGGGATTGTTTCCTTAATTTCCTTTTCTCGAATTGTATTGTTAGTGTATAGAAATGAAACTGATTTCTATACATTAACTTGGTATCCAACAACGTTACCAAATTCATTGATGAGCTCTAGTCGTTTTTTGATCACTTCTTTAGGGTGTTCTACGTATAGTATCATGTCATCCATGAACAGTGACAGTGTTACTTCTTCTTTTCCTATTTGGATTCTCTTTTTTCTTTTTCTTCTCTGATTGCTGTGGCTAGGACTTCCAAAACTATGTTGAACAACAGTGGCGAGAGTAGGCATCCTTGTCTTGTTCCTGATCTTAGAGGAAATGCTTTCAGCTTTTCACCATTAAGTATGATGTTAGCTGTGGGTTTGTCATATATGGCCTTTATTATGTTGAGGTATGGTCCGTCTATGCCCACTTCCCAGAGAATTCTTATCATATATTTGAATTTCATCAAAAGCTTGTTCTGCATCTATTGAGATGATCATATCGTTTTTATTCTTGAGTTTGTTACTGTGTTGTATCACATTGATAGATTTGTGGATACTGAATAATCCTTCATCCCTGGAATAAATCGCACTTGATCATGGCCTATGAGCCTTTCAATGCATTGTTGGAGTCGATTTGCTACTTTTGTTGAGGATTTTTGCAGCTATAGTCATAAGATATTGGCCTGTAATTTTCATTTTTTGTGATATCTTTGTCTGCCTTTGGTAACGACAGTGGCCTCATAAAAGGAGTTCAGAAATATTTCTTTCTCTGCAATTTTGTCTAGTAGTTTCACAAGGATAGGTCTTAATGCTTCACTAAATGTTTGGGACAATTCACCTCTGAAGCCATCTGGTCCTGGACTTTGGTTTGTTGGGAGTTTTATAATAACTGAGTCAATGTCAGTACTGGTAACTGGTCTGTTCATATTTTCTATTTCTTCCTGAGTCAGTCTTGGCAAACTGTGCCTTTCTAAGAAATTGTGCATATCTTCTACACTGTCCTTTTGGTTGGCATACGGTGGCTCATAGCAGCCTCATGATCCCCTGCATTTCTGTGGTGTTGGCTGTAACTTCTTTTTTCTTTCTGACCTCATTAATTTGGGCCCTTTCCCTTTTTTTCTTGATGAGTATGACTAATGGTTTATTAATTTTGTTTATCTTTTCTAAGAACTAGCTTTTGGTTTCATTGATCTTTTCTATTATTTTTTTAGTCTCCATTTCATCTATTTCTGCTCTGATCCTTATGATTTCCTTTCTTCTACTAACTTTGGCTGTGTTTATTTTTCTTTTCCTAGCTGCTTTAAGAGTAATACTGGGTTGTTTACTTGAGATGTTTCTTGTTTCCTCAGGTAGGCTTCTATTGCTATAAACTTCAGTCTTAGAACTAATTTTGCAGCATCCCAGATGTTTTGGATCCTTGTCATTTCATTTATCTCAGTGTATTTTTTGATCTCCTCTTTGATGTCTGCAGTGATCTCCCGGTTGTTTGCTAGTATACTGCTTCGTCTGCATGTGTTTGCAGTGTTGCCAGTTGTTTTCTTGCAGTTAATGTCTGACCTCGTAGCACTGTGGTTGGAAAAGATGCTTGGTACAATGTCAGTGGTCTTAAATTTACTGTGGCTTGCTTTGTGGGCCAACATGTGATCAGTTCTGGAGAATGTTCCATGTGCACTTGAGAAGAATGGGTATTCTCTTGCTTTTGGATGGAATGCTCTGTAGATATCAATTAAGTCCATCTGGCCTCATGTGTCATTTGGTCCTGTATTTCTTTATTGATTTTCTGTCTGAATGATCTGTCTATTGATGTAAGTGGGGTGTTAAGTTCCCCCACTATTATCGTGTTGCTGTCGATTTCTCCTTATATGTCTGTTAACAATTGCCTTATACATTGAGGCGCTCCCATGTTGGGTGCATATATATTTACAATTGTTGTATCTTCTTCTTGGACTGATCCTTTGAGCATTATGTAGTGTTCTTTATCTCTTGTAACAGTCTTTATTTTAAAAACTATTTTGTCTTATATACATATTGCCACTGCAGATTTCTTTAGGTTTCCATTTGCATACAGTACTTTTTCCATCCCCTGAATTTCAGCCTGCATGTGTCTCTAGCTCTGAGGTCGATCTCTTTTAGACAGCCCTGTTTCTGTATCCATTCCACGTCTTTTGATTGGAACATTTAATCCATTTAAATAACTACGTATTCTGGAGAAACAGTGAGATTTGTTTTGCCTAAATGTCTCTAGAAACAAAGCCAAAAATGCCTCTTCACGATTATTTTCAATAAGTATGCAGACTATAGTGTTTTAATTTTTTTTTCCTTTGCGGTAGTGTAGTTTTAAAGGTGAATCTGATTTAATTTCATGAATGTTTTTTTCAAGAACTTCCTAGGTAGCTTGTCTGCATTGCATTGGCCATGGTAGTGCTCCCATTCCTGTAACCAAAAGCCAGGGAATTTAAGTTGTTATTTTGACTCCTGTGGTCTTTCCATTGAATAGAGCCTCTGAAATTCTTTGGGGCAAAAACACAAACATTAGATGAGGGAGTCTCACTCCTTATCTAAGTAACCACTTCACAAGGCTGTGAGAAGAGGCTCTAATCTGAGGTCCATTGACTTGTGCATAATCAGTGGTTCAGTTCCACTTAAGTACCTGCCCTTCTCCTCTATTTTATAAATGCTTGCTTTTCTTTTCATGGAAAGATATATACTTTTTTCTATCTACATAATACTTCTACTTGTTCTTTTTTAGTTTTATGAAACTAAAGATTTTTGGTTTCATTTTCTTAGAATTTATGCTTTTATAGTGTAAAAGT